TGGCTCTGGGCGCGCTCCTGTGGGCTGAGCAGGTGGAGAATCACCGCTGAATAACGGCACGGTACAAACAACACGCCTCCATTATAGCAAGTAAATAAATTCAGGTATAAATATCTAACAAGACGTGGCAGGTGTGTGCTGTGTTGTAGCAAAAATCACCTTGTGAGTGCCATGAATATGTTTCTGGTAAGGAAACTTGGGAGTTCAGGAGTGGGTTTTGTCCCCCCAGGTCATTGGGATGGATGGCAGAGGTCACCTATCTTGTAAGACTTGGCCCCAGGAATATAAAATGTGCTGCTGAAATGTGAACGGTGGCCAAGTTATTGCTGGCAAGGTGTTGCTGGGCGGTGGTGGGAGAACCCTTCCTCCTGCTCTGGCTTTGTGTGCCCACAGTTTGATGGCTGAGAGGAAAAAATAAAATCTCTAAGCATTCAGGTGCTCGTGCCACTGCTTTCCCATCTCCATTTTTAATCCAGTATGTGCACAGCTACATATCTGCCAAACGTTGAAGAAATGGTGACCAAAGTAGCATTGTGGGGAACGTGTGCTGGGTGTTTTAGCCCATGAGCAGCATTAGGAGATTGGCTCTGCTTCTGCTCAGAGAACCTGCAGGAACATTCTGTCTTAATTTGGTGCTGAAGTGGGTGGAGAAAGCCTGAGGCTTTATCACACCCTTAAGGGGATATGAGAGATGAGATTACAAAGGGAGGGGGGTGTCCTGCCAAGCTTGAGCACCTTGAATCTGGGGAAATCAACCTCTGTGTGCAGTAAAAGTTTGTAAATGGCCCATCTCAGCTGAGAACTCCTTGGTGACGTGTTGGTGTCTTATGGAAACAGGGTGCTGCCCACGCTGGGACGAGGCTGCTGCTCTTAGAGGAGTTCAGAGCTGCCCAGACTGTAAAAGTAAATCCTGATGCTCCCCAGAAGAACGCTCGCTTTCTAACCCTGGAAGTAAGTGACCATCCTCTCTCTCTTTCTCCACTCCTTCCTTCCCACAGGGGTCTCGCCAGGCCTGCTGCTCTGTTAAAGAGCTGGATGTGTTCAGCAGAGCACAGGAGGTTAAAGTGGACCCTGACAAACCCCTGGAAGGGGTTCGGCTGGCTGCCCTGCAGGTAACAACACCTCTGCACCCCCTGGGGAGGGTGCTCACCATAGGGTGGCTTCATTTGGCAAATGATGAAGGGTGCAGGTGGAGTTTGGGGATGTTACTACTTTTCTGCAGAGCAATAGCAGTCAGAATACTTCTTTAGCAACTCATAACTTCTTTTGTTACACAGGCAAGGAAGACTCTGTTGGTTCCCACCCCACGGCTGAGAACTGGGCTGTTCAATAAGATTGTTCCACCTTCCGGGGCAACCAAGGAGATCCTGAGAATATGTGCTACAGCCCAAGTAGGAATGAGGGTTGGGGAGGTCTCAAGGAACTTGTAGAAGAGTTGTTGTGTTTTAATAGCCCAACTAGAAGCTGGAAAACTAGCTGCTACCCAAAATACTGTTCTGCTAGTGTGTTACTGGGTTTGTGTATGCATCCACCTCTACTATTTTTTTTTTGTGGGTACTTAAATCATGAGGAAATTTAGGCGTTTGACAGAATGGTATCAATATTTTGTGAATGATTTTTGGCACGTTATCAGCAACTTCTATAGGTGACTTAAATCTTACTGATAAATAGTCTTGTTTTCTTCTGCAGTTTTGAGCCTAGTGAGCCCTCTAAGGAATATTTTTAGTATTTACAGTGTTTGCATCATCTGTTCAATAAAATATCAGGTGTAGGGCAGAACAGGTCTTTTAGGATCCTAAGTGTAAAGAAACATGAATCGTGTCATTTCTGGCAGCCGAGGTATGGAAACGGGTCCCGGCTTTTCTTCTGCAGCGTGGTCTGTTGCTGCCCTCTGCTGTTACAACGTCGTATCGTCCGGCTGAGGTCACCGGGCAGAGGAATAACGGCTTCAAACACATCTCCAGTTGATGTGGAGACAGAACTTGTCCAAAAAGCACGGGCTTTGTTTCGGCCTTTATCTCCTGCTAAAGGCAATAAACTTCCCCAGTAATCCTGTCTACAGCCGAGGGTTGTAAATGGATGGTAATTAGCAGCGACTTTTTGTTGGAAGTTGTATTAAAGTCATTAACTAATTAAGCTTTTCAGGGTTGAAGAGCACTTTTGAAAGAGCCTTTCTCTTGACCCACTGTAGGCATCTAATCTGTGATCTTCCCACCATGTGTCTTCTTTTTTTTTTTTCCCCCAACCAGGCATGCTAATGAAGGAATAAATGCTATTAGCAGTTTATATTTACAAAGCACTGTGCAAACAGTTCTTACCACACTTCTGGGAAGGGGCTAATGAGCATTGTCACTGATAGTCAGCCACAAATGACTGATCTTTTGGGGTTTGTGCTCTGAAAGAAAATGTTTGGGGCTTTATTGCAAGGATTAACTTAGCACAGTCTTGTTGGTGTGAAAATTTACATTACATTTTACACATATTCAGAGTGATTATATCACAAGGTAGCTTTTTAAAGGTTTTAAACCATTTTTTAATTTCTGCAGCTCTGGACAGAATTTTGTTAGGCTGTGTTCTTCAGAGAGGAGCCTGAAAAGGGGTGGGTAGGGATGAGCAGGGGGAGAGTGGAATCCAAAAAGCATGAGAAGACCCTAGGAGGCTTTTCCTTCCACTTACTAGGAACTGTGTGGTTTCTCTGTGGGGCTTGTGAAGCACTTGGCATGACTTCAGTCAAGCAGATTAACATCTTCATGCTGTGGTTGTGTCTAAATTTGTGATTTGTAGTTGAGAATCAATGTCAGAATCAGTAGTGCTTTGGTGTTCTTCAGGGGCATGAATTAACATATTATGATTTAAATTAGTGTTAGGGTAGGAAGTGTCGTTTGCTCTCACTTTTAGAAATAGATGCATTTCAAAATATGAGCTTTTGAACCTAAATAAAAAACCTTGCTTAAAAAAGGTGCCCACCTCCTTTAGCTCTCCTTGAAGTGTGCCAAAATTCTTGTCACTGTAGTAGGGAATCTATTCTAGGATTCCCTAGAGGATAACTTTGCAGACATGTACAGCTTGGCTATACATGGAAGAAACACTTTGAAATGTGGGGAGTTACTTGGATTTATCAAAATATTCTGGATTTGTGCCTCGCTGGTTAGAAAACTGCACTCTGCAAACCTAAAATTACATTTTTTCCTGCAGGGTATAAAAGACTACAGCGTGCCTGTGGGTCTTGATGGGAAAGCACAAGTGGACTTGGTTGTTGTAGGATCAGTGGCTGTCTCTGAAAAAGGTAAGAAAACCTCATCAGCTTTGCAGGAGGAGTGTCCTGAGTCACAATTCATGATATCAGGGCTACACTATGTGCTCCTTTTGAAAGATCTGAATATATCTCTGGAGCTGAATCACAGTCCTGAGTTCTCTCTCCTCTGGCAAGTCCCATCAGGAGGAATCAAGGCATGCTCTACAGCAGCACTGCCAGGACTTAGCAGGCAGGCAGCAGTGTGGTGTAGAGAACACGGGCTGGTGTTTTGGCCTTCAGTAGAACTACTCAGGCAATCAGTTTTCTGGGGTTTAAGTTTTTGGGGTTTTTTTTAGGGAACCCAGGAGGGCTCCCTGTTCTGATGATCTACTCTGCTCTCATAGGGTGTGTGGAGGGACATGTGGCACAGCTGCTGGCTCAGTACCTACTGGAGGATCAGATTTTGCCTTTTCTAGTATTTTGAAGACCTGCTGGTGGTGAAGAAGTTTTCTGCTGATTTTAGCCATTGCCTAAAATGACCATTCTTTTTGTATATGACCCCAGACTCCTCTCTACCCACGTGAAGTTAACTTCTCTGACATGAATGAGGGTTCTAATTACAATGAGCAATAAGGCTTCTGTGTTAACTGAATTGGACTAAATTTGGGTTGTTCTGAACAGGAGGCTCCTGGGATCCTTCTCAAAACATTGAAACTAGTGATTTATTTTAATTTCAGTGCTGATTACAACTCAAGTTGCATTCTGAGAGAGATACTGATCTCCTGAGTTACAGCTTTGTGCTTGGTTTACCTATTGCAGACCATTTAGCTTAATTGGATGCTTCTGATAATTACCAACCTCTCCACTCTGTGGTTTCTGTGTTTACTATCAGTTTACTATTTTTGTATTTCAGGCTGGAGAATTGGCAAAGGGGAAGGCTATGCAGACATGGAATATGCCATGATGGTGTCAATGGGTGCAGTGCAGGAGGACACACCAGTAGTTACCATTGTGCACGACTGTCAGGTGAGTTCAGATATCCACACTCCAGTGCTGAGTGAGACCTGTCTGATACTGAGTGGCAGGGCTGAAAGAGAGCCTTGAAATGATGCTGGTGTGGCTCTTTACTTTGTTTCCACTCTCACTGACATATTTTTGTACCTCATGAAGCATTAGGAGTAGCTCACCATTCTAGTGAATTTGATTTTGACTCCTCACCACATCTCTGGTTCCTTGTAGGTGGTTGATATAGCAGAAGAGCTTCTGGATGATCATGATTTAACTGTGGATTATATCCTCACCCCAACAAGAACTATCCAGACTAACTGCAAACGGCCAAAACCTCGGGGGATATTGTGGCATAAGGCAAGTTACCTCTGCTGGCAGTGGCTCACTGGTACCACTGTCCTGTTCATGAACACCCATTTTTATATAGAAACACACTGTTGTGTTAAAAATACTTGGGAAAGAAGCAAATGTGTTTGTGAGATGAAACAAACCAGCAGCATTCGTGTTCAGTGGTTTTTAAGTGGTCGTGGTGAGGAGGAGAAATAAATTACTGAAGTTGAGCTTGTGGTGTCAAAGAGATTAGAGGGTGAGAGTCACTGGAAACATCATTTGTGGGTTTTTAAGACAGACATCATTTCTTGTAGTCGTTTGCAGTGTAGCAGTGTAAGCTGAGGGGCTTCTCCACCTTTTGTGTTTTGTTCCTTGGTGCTCCCTGAAATGGGCTCTGCAGGTTTTCTGGAGACAGCACCACAGAGACAACTTTATTGGAATGGGTGGAAAACGTGTTGCTCTGGTTGTGGAAGGAAAGCCTGACCTAGTGGTGGGCACACTGCTGGTTATGTGCATGTCTGGGATTCACTTTCAAAGGAATTAGTAGCTGGAGCTTGTTTTCAGGTGGAGGAGCAGTGATTTTACACTGCCTTAAATCCCAAATCCTTGCTCATTGAGAATTATTGCATTATGGATTTGGCTCACCCCACCCCAAGATTGTCAGAAACATCAGCAGCTTCACAAATGGTTTCAGAAAAGCATTTAGTGAATTGTTTTACTGGAAGTTCATGCTGGGAAAACTTTCTGTCATTAAATTTTCATTCCTAAAATCAGTGGGGTTAGGGAGCAGACACAGTCCATGTGACTGAGTAAC